TATCATATATTTCCATTTCTGACAATATTGCACCTAAAGCAAAGTCTGATGCATTTGTTTCCATAAAAAATGGCTTTAAAAAATCGACGCAATACAAGATTGGTGCAGAAATAAAGGCTGTCTTCAAAGCTTCAAATGCTACTTCCGCTTCTTGATTCCATTGAAGTTTGTCTTTCCAAGTCAAACGTATAAGTGGAGCTGCAACTTGAGAGAAGTCTTTGATGAAGATCTGATAGTAGTTGGCAAATTCCAAAAAGCATTGGACATCTCTTACCGTTTTTGGGATCTTCCAATCCATAATAGTTTGAACTTTCTTAGGATCGATCATAAGTCCGTCATTTGAAATGATGTATCCTAAGAAGTCGACTTGAGTAGTGTGAAATACACACTTTTCTATCTTGGCATAGAGTCCTGCATCTCTTAGTTTCGGTATTACTTGACAAACAAGAAGTTCATGTTCTTCTGGATTCTTAGAATAGATTAAGATGTCGTCTAGGTAACAAACAATAAAATCATCTAAAAACTCCCGAAAGACATCAATCATTAGATGTTGGAATGCTACCGGTGCATTTATAAGTCCAAAAGGCATGACGTTGTATTCAAAATGTCTATACCTTGTTTGAAACGTAGTCTTCCATTCATCTCCTTCTTTGATGCGTATCAAATTATATGCCCCCCGTAGATCTATTTTTGTATAGATCTTAGCTTGATTCAACTGATCAAGGAGTCCAGCTATCAAAGGTAGCGGGTACCTATTTTTGATAGTGATTTTGTTGAGTCCTCGATAATCAACAGACATCCGCAATGATCCATCTTTTTTCTTCACAAATAAAATTGGAGCTCCTACTGGAGATTTGGAATGGCGTATGAAGTTTTTGGCCAAATTTTCTTCAATATATTCCTTGAGTTCAGCCAACTCATTTTGAAATAAATTGTAGATTGGTCCAAATGGCGGTTGTGCTCATTCTTGAAGGTCAATTAAGTAGTCATAAGAACAATGTTTTGGAAGAGTATCTGCATTTTTTTTTCAAATACATCTTGAAAATCTTGGTATTGGCTTGGAATGCGACTTGAAGTCTTTCCACCAGTAAAAATAAGTGTGGCATAAATGACACAGGATAATCCTTCTTTTGCAGCATACAAGAAAGTACTTGCACCTACAAATATAGGTTTAATTATACTAGACTTATGAGTTTCTACTTGATTAACTACACTCTTAGTTATACTTTCAAAAAAGTCAAGACTACGAGAAGTCCAATCTATTTTAGGATTATATTTTTTTAGCCATAATAAACCTAAAATGACTAGATTAGAAGGAGATCTAATGATATTAAATATTATAAAGCTACTATGACTATTAGTTATTATTTCTATAAGAAGAGTTTCATGAGTAACATCTCCTAAAGACAACGGACGACCATCTATGACTTCTACATGAATCCTTCTTGACGACGACGAGTCTTTTCTTGATTAGTAAGATGTTTGAAATATATTGCATCAATTTGCATATCCTCTACTTCCGAATGTATGTGTTGAAGAGATATTGGTGTTGCTATTGAATTATAGTTACGTTGAGGTCCATTTATACGGTTCTCAGATCAAAATTCAAAAAGGCAATTGTCGCACTTCACAACAAATTCAATTGCTTGACTCAATGTTTGAGGATCAGGTAAGTTGAGCATTAATTTTGTTACCTCATATAGTAATTCATAGAAAAATTGGCTAATAAGTGCAACATCATTCCACTTGATATCAGTTGCAAGTTGTCAAAATTGTGAAGCATACAACGTTAGTGATCGATTGCTTTGTCGTAAAATACAAATCTTATTGGTTGCAACACGAATTGCATCATGTTCTCCATACATGGATCAAAACTCCACCAGAAAAGCCTCTAGATTATCCAATATTAGATCTCGTCATTCAAAAAAAGACGAAAACCATGATAGTGTTGAACTTGAAAGAAGCGTACCAATGAATCTAACTTGCGATCTTGGAGTTGAATAGCTTTGGGATTGAAGTTCAATCACAAGTTACACTTGATTGATAAATCCTCGAAACTTGGATCTGGTGCCATCAAACTTCTCGGATAGGGCAATTCTTCGTTCTCTAAAATTGAAAGGATGTTCCACTATAAGAGAATGGCTATGATTTAGTGCAGATATTGAAGCAGCTCCAATCATTTCTATATCTTCACTTCCTGCCAATCTTGTTGTTCTTTGTGGTGGTAAATTGAGTTGATGCATCACAAGTATTAACTCTCTCAATTGTTCTTGCACTTATGCCATTGCACTCTTCATTTCAGTAAGTTCTGCCATGATAACACTTAGAAAAGAGAAGATGTCTAATATCACTCAAAACAAATAAAAGAGAGGACTTATGAACAAAGAAAATACTAAGGACAATATCAGTTTAGAAGAGGGTAATCCACAACTTCTAATATGCTTGTGTCTTATCAAGAAAAAGGGATAATTCATTCTTAATGAAGATTAGACAAAGCTTTGATATTATAGGTGTATTCTTGTCAATTTGTCAAGGACAAGAACATAATAAAAACAAATAAACAAGTGAGACTTCTTTCAAAGAAAGATGACAAAATAGAAATAACTTGATATGTATATTATAAAAGAACTGGAATGGCTATTACCAAAAGACAAGAAAACTAGAGACCCTTGAAACTAGACTAGAAGCAAGAATGGAGTTGACAAGAGTGAATAAGGCTTCACTCTTGTCTCTATATATATTATCTAACTAGGGGCTATATGGCAACGTTCTATAGGACCTCTAATATGTGTTGACTTTGTAGGATACATGCCTTGACTTACAAGGCAAGTTTTTTCTACGTATGGGCCACAAAGTTAGCTTGGTCTTCAAGCTAACAACATGTGTGACACATGGCCAACTTGTTGACCACGTTTTTAATCCAAAAAGTCAATTAAAGATACTTATAAAGTCAAAGCAGCGTCTATGAAGCTTCTAGAAAGCTTCCATACCAAATACTATAGAATTAACTTATTTTTATCTACTTTTACTTACTTCTACCTATTTATACATATAATTATTGGCTTACATGTGTATGTCCGTGACATTGGGTTGAGCTTGATGAGACAAAAGCACATGATTTTTTCACAAGGTATGGATTGCAATTGAAATTGACCACCTCCTATAATCCCGAAGCTAATGATAAGAATGAAAGGAGGTACCCTCTAATCATTCAAGTTTTGATCAAGGCATGTAGGGGTCAATGAAGGTTGTGGCTTAAACTTTTGTCATTTGCTTTAAGGATAAATATGACTACTCATAGCATAGATACTAGCTATATGCTAGTAGAATTGATATTAGAATAAAATTCCTTAATGCCTATAGAAGAGTCTATTTTTTCTTAGTTGTTTTTGTCTTAGAAAGATAGCATTGACAAAGAGTGATTATTAGAGCTTCAAATTTACCAATTAGAGAGATTGCCTAAGAATCATCAAGTTGCTACATAGAAGCTTAAGGCAACAAGGTTGAACACCAAAAAGAGATTTAGTAAAACTCACCAATTGAGACTTAAGCCAATTAAAGAAGATGATTGGATTTTAGTTTATGATAGTAATTTGATATAAAAATATTCTATTTTTTATAAGTTTGCACGATTTTGGTTTGGATCCTATGTAGAAGTTGAAGTGCATAAAAATGAAACTTATTCTCTTTGAAAGTTAGATAGAATACCATTGAAAGCAAGGATTGCAAGAAACCAAATTAAAGTCTTCAAGTGGCAAGATGGATTGAAATATGTAGAAGATTTAGAGGTTTTTGAACATCAATATTTTAATCAATAATTAAAAAGTAATATGGCTTCTAATAACTTTGATCCTGATTATGGAGGCATTGTGGTTTAATTCTTTGGCACATACAAAGATATATGGAGGTCTAGAAGGGATGAATGTTGTGATGCATTTAATTTAAGTGTATCAAAGATATTTAGAAGGTAATTAATTTTACTTATAGGAGAAGGAAGAATACAATGCTAATACATTTAGAAATTTAAATAGAATTTAGAATATGAAATTATTGTCTTTGAATGGATTATTTGAGCTTGAGGATATTGTCTTTTAAAATAGATATCCGACTCTATAGTGGTTCAAGATGGATGATGGGAGAAGATTAGAGATAGGGATTTTTGGCATCAAAAAGTTTTTTTGGAAAGAAGAGGGAAGGAGGTGGGGGATTAGGATCAAAAGGAGTAGAAAGGAAGGTTGCTGAAAACTTTGGGAAGAGACAAGTTTCAAGCCTGGTTTGGAATTTTGAAGGCTACTTACAGAATTTTTATTTTGAAATTTTGAAATTTTAAAGGAAGTTAGATCATATTGTTAGATTTCCAACAAGCTATTTTATGCAAAAAAATGAGCTATGAGAAGGGAGATCCAAGCAAACATGTAAGAAGGGGGTTGGAGTTTTTGGGCAGCAAGCTTTAAGACTGGTTAGAGGTTTTCTACGCCATTTTTTGTATTTTCTTCTTCTTATTTTGAGATTTTATACAAAGCTGAATCTTATTGTTAGCTTTCCAACAAGCTAATTTATGCAAGAAGAAGAGTTGTGATGAGGGAAGTTTATATGAATTTGTGGAAGGGGATTTATTAGAGTTTTTGAGCAGCAAAATTCAAGACTAGTTTGGTATTTTCTATGCCATTTATAGGCTTTTCTTCTTTTTATTTTGAAAATTTAAAAGCTAGATCTCATTGTTATCTTTGCAATAAGCCTTAGCATGCAAGAAGAAGAGTTGTGATGAAGGAGGTCCAAGCTAATTTATAGACACAAGATTTTCTCATTAGTTTGGCTTTCATTCTTTCAAGATTTTATTTATGGACTTTAAGAATTTAAAATTTGTAGCTTGAATTAAGCTCAACAAGCTAAACTTTGCCTAAATTAGATTAGTAATAAATGAATTATAGATATTTTAATAAGATGAAGTTTGGATTTAAGATTTGAATTGGGGGTTGAATGCATCTTGGCACAAGAAAGAAATTAGTCTAAATTTGGTATTTAGCCTTTGGCTATTCTTTCATATTTGACTTCATTTGGACAACATTGTGCTTCTTATAACCCACTTGCAATCAAGGACCTTGTGTTCTCCTGAAGAGGCTCGTCCTCTTCACAAGTGAATCTGCTCAAAAGGTAGACAAGTTCACAAACTTGCCCTCCACCGTTCCGCTCTGGCCGCACCACACGTCCTTGTTGAAGTTGTAGTCTCCTCCCACTCCGCAGCACGCCTTCAGTGGAGCCGTCACATCTGCACATCAATCACCCGGCAATCAGCGCCACAATGATGCACTCTCTCAACCCTCGTGCCATATTCCTGCATCGAAAACGCTCTCGCATCTACCGCAACACGCACACTGCACATTCCCTGGCGCAGACACTCCCCACCCCATCCATCCTCTGCAGCAGCCACAGACATGGCCGCCATATGGAAGGGCGGGGCTGGGCTAGTCGGCAATTTGACGGCGACTGGACGGAAGGCATCCATCGGGACTCACTGTATTTGGCGGGCTCCTTGAGGATGTCGGTGTACACGGCATACACATCGCCGTAGTAGAGCTTGGCATCCGGGTACTTTTTGCGCAACTCCTCCACCTTCAGGCCCAGCAGCGTGTTGTGAGCCTCGGAGATCTTGTTGAGGCTGCTCAAACATCCGTACTCGTCGTACTTGGCCTTGGATCCGCCGTACAGGGTGAGCATGGCGGGAACGCAACCCAGGGGAAGCTGGTTCTGGATCAGGATCTCCTTTGCCGGGGGCATCAGCATTGAGGGGAAGCCCGGAGGAGTGTACTCCACCACCGCCAGCATCTTCTCAATGTGCTCCTCGATGGCCTTCACCACGTCAGGCACGATCTTCAAGGTCTGCCCCACCGTGATTTTCTTGTCGTACAGGCTGAAGAAGTAGTCTTGGTATCCAGCCCACACCGTGTACAAGGACGCACTGATGTTGGCGAGCTTGGGGAGGCTTTGGACGAGTCGCCCGTTGGGGTTGTACACGGGCGATTCGTAGAACCAGAGCCGGATCTTGTAGCGCTGGAACCACTGCTGCTGCACCTCCAAGGAGAAGGGTGTGGTGAACTTGTCGTCGCTGTTCCACACCTTGACGGGCCTGGCGGGGCCTCCAGACGCAGCGAAGTTGGTACTGTAGGTGAAATCGCCAGCCGTTCCTCTCAGGACGGCGTAGGTTGGGCGTCTCCTCACTCCGAAAGCTGCACATCGACCAGGACAGACAGCGCACAATCAGTTCACCAAACCATTTCACGGGGAACCAAACCACATCGCTCCACTGCCGGCACGAGGGGCAGCTGGAGCAGAGCAATATTCGCAAGAACGATTCCAAGGGGTGGGTCACGCTTGTGCATGATCTGTCGCCACTCTTGCATTTCTGGATAGCATCGGGTTTCTACGAGCAAATAGTCGTAACCAGCTGCTGAGGTTCATGCCGACGTGCTGGGCTGGCCTTGAATTCGGCAACTCCTACCGGCGTCGATTCTTCAACCTCTCGGCGCTGTTCAGTTAGAGTACAAAAAAAGTACCAATACAAGATTGGATAGTTTTAGATTAGAAGACGATTAGTGATGCAAAGTATTCAACGGCTCTCTGGTCTTTAAGCATAGAACTATATTGACTCACAACTGTTGCGTCTCAGCCGCAGATTTAGCTTCTCTAAGGATGTTTGACAGGGACAATGTTAGATCGAATATCAGAGGTGATTAATCGGTGAACAGCGGTCCAGCTAGTTCATGAAATTGTGGCCCAGCTTCAGAGGGCATCAGTTCCCACTTCAGGTAACGAGGAATCTTCCCCCCCCACAAAGCACGCAATTCAAACCCTGTGTTTCGTGAATCACAGGAAAGAGGCTCATACATTACTAAGAAATTTTGACTTTTTTGGCATCGCACTAATTGAAAGTCGGGAATGCTTTGGTCCTGGAATTAAGCATTTGAAGAGGAAAGGCAGACCTTTTCTTTAAATCTTCCAGCCACAGAATTACAAGTCCATACCCAAGTTGCTCTTTTTGCAGCCAAACAAGACAATTCGCCCCGCTCCTGATACATGGGTCTGCCCGAACTCTGATACTTGGGTCTGCCCGAACACTGGTAATTGGGTCTGCCCGAACACTGGTAATTGGGTCTGCCCGAACACTGGCAATTGGGTCTGCCCGAACACTGGTAATTGGGTCTGCCCGAACTCTGTAAAGATTTGAGGTCAACTAAAAGGTCATGAAGCACTCTTTTTCAATACTTTTGCAATGCTTTCAAACCAGAATTTCTATCACCACCAGTACAAATTGCAAATACTCTTGACTTGATGAGGATTGAAAACACTGTTTCTCACTCTGCTGTTGAATTTAAGGGCTTGAAATAGGATGTGGGAATCGTTTTTCCCAAAAATCGTTAGTGATTTGTCATTTCATTCCGAAATAAACGCGGTAAAAGTGATGAAGTATAAACAAGTTTTCTAATACTTTGTTGAGGTTAAATTGATGAGACTCCACATAATCTCTGCAAATTAGTTCCAGCAAAGAACGATTCCAATTCTGCGGCAATAGAAGGTTTTTGTCATCGAGCATGAATGCTTGGTCTATAAGTCATCGTTGTTGACTCCGTGTTGAATCTTCGTCGACTTCAAAAAATGAGGCAATTGTCAACTCTTAGACATCATGAGCTGACTTGCATTATTAGTGTATTTGGTGTACGTTGACTATTCCAGGATATGAATGAAGTGGGCACTCCCAGGTTCTTGTCCATTGCAGGGGCGGTCTATGCACTTCTACCTCACTGCATGTGTTGAGCAGTAATATTTAATCGCATGACGGTTGTTGATGACAACAAGAGACTTGTGCTGTGGACGATACGTTCTGGGCTGGTCCCCAAGATAGGCTGATAGGACTCACGTGGAACATACTGAAGTATATCTGAATTCGTGAAGTTAGAGGAAATGGCGAAGTAAAAGAATCTCCCTGACAACCAAACGAGCATATGCCGTGATGGCCATGCGTCCCCAATTAATTCTTACTTGGGAATCGGCGCATAGTAACCTCGTCTTTGGTCAACCCCTATTTTCTGACAATCATTCCCGAACCATGTCGCAAAGTCAAGCGTTGTCTACGTACCATTGAAGCAGCCGAATATAGCCCAAATACAAATTCGTATAATGCTTGAAATGTAACACAACGACCACGGTTGCCAATTCATCACCTACTTCTTGAGGAGACTTAAATAGTTGACACAAAAAATATGTAAAATGGACTTGTTAATTGCTAAAAACTAAGAATAGGCAGAAAAGATTGTCACATGCTATTTCATACATTCTATACTATGTTTCTATACTATGTTAATCAACATTCAATTGATCAAAAACAAATTGCATGCATTACTACATCTCATCAACTCTCTCGTCTTCTACAATCAACTTAATTTTTTTCGCTGAGCTTCTATAATGAAACCTGTAGAAAAGCCCTCTAGGAACTCGATGATAACATCACACATGTGAAACCTTGAAACAAAATGCAGACTTGATTGATTTGAATTATGTTCGTAATCGGTGCCCTCACGTGGAATAACATGTCAAGAGTTCTCTTCCAATTTTTTAAAAATTCACTGTAGAAAACCTTGAAGAAGTCTTGCTCAAACTTTGAAATTTGTTACATCATTTGACACTAGTCATCTGCATGGCGACCCATCTGCGGAGTCCTCACAACCCTTCAAGTTGTTTCAACCCTGGCCTTAGGCTTGGGACCAACGTACTTCCACTTTGATTCCAAGTTTTAAAAAGGCCTCCGATGATTGATTGTTAAATAATCATGAATGGCAATTAATAATTCTTCGAGAAATCAGTAGGTGTTGTTTGAAGGAAAAACGACAATTTAAGTAGCCATGGCTCAACTTAAGGGATCAGGAACTTAGTCTCGCTTCTATGCCATCGACACATCTTGAAAGTAACTTCAGCAGATTACTGGCAACTTTCTCGACCAGAGTTGGCGATAAAAATTGTGAACACTAATGATGGTGCTATGACGCAACAAATCCTCACACAAGAACATGAGACAAAGAATCAAACAGAAGTGTAAGCAGAATCCATAGCTCTATAGGAGTTGGAGAGTCTACACCTAAAGGACCGCGAAAAGAAAAACCGCCAGCGAAAATACTTCGCATCTATAGGAAATTGTCAGTCCAGATCGGTCAAACCTTGACCAAAGGCCATGGTATCGTGTTTCCCGATAAGATTATATATCCAAAAGCAAGGAAAACAATATAATCGACTACACTCTTTAAATAATAATAAAAAAACAGATCTAAAAAAACCCCTCAGTATACCAACTTCCAACACGAACTGTAATATACAACTGAGCACAGAAATATATAAAGAGTCTTCTCAGGTTGCAGAGCCACAATCCACCTCCTCGAGGGCTATACCGTTAGATAAAGCAATCATTCGACTTCCCACTTCTTCACCTATCAGCTAGACAAGAAAGACTTGAGAGAGCCGCAGTGTGTCGACTTCAACCCGGCGTCGCAACAACACCAAACATGGGCAGCCTCCATCTCCTCCGTTTTGGGGCCCTGCTACTCTGCACCCTCCACCTTGTTTCGGCCCAGACCGCTTTGCCCAACTGCTCCTATCCCGCGGTGTATGGCTTCGGAGACTCCCTCACTGACGTCGGCAACGGCATCGCCGCCTTCCCGGAGAAGTTCCAACACTGCGAGGAGGACCCCTACGGCGTTACCTTCCCCATGCATGCTGCGGATCGATTCACGGACGGAAAGATGTTCATCGACTTCCTTGGTATGTCCTCCATCACCTCCGCCTTCGTCTTGGTCCGCCCTCACCATTGCCTCGTTCCTCGTCTCGTGTTTGCCTTGGCAATCGCCACCCATTCAGTGACGTCGGATCCGAATCCGTGCACGTTATGACGCACTCTTTTCGGCAAGATCACTCCGTGCCCAAACCTTAGGTGCGCCCGACGGGGTCCATGAATTGCATGTTCCCGCCAGTCTGTAGCATTGCTCGGGTCAAAACCCAGATAGAATTCCTCTGCGACGCTGCTGAGGATCACGTCCGACCAACTCCATGTACTCACACAACCTGGAATTGCCGGATTCAAAGCCAGCCCAGCACGTCGGCATGAACCTCAGCAGCTGGTTACGACTATTTGCTCGTAGAAACCCGATGCTATCCAGAAATGCAAGAGTGGCGACAGATCATGCACAAGCGTGACCCACCCCTTGGAATCGTTCTTGCGAATATTGCTCTGCTCCAGCTGCCCCTCGTGTCGGCAGTGGAGCGATGTGGTTTGGTTCCATGTGAAATGGTTTGGTGAACTGATTGTGCGCTGTCTGTCCTGGTCGATGTGCAGCTTTCGGAGTGAGGAGACGCCCAACCTACGCCGTCCTGAGAGGAACGGCTGGCGATTTCACCTACGGTACCAACTTCGCTGCGTCTGGAGGCCCCGCCAGGCCCGTCAAGGTGTGGAACAGCGACGACAAGTTCACCACACCCTTCTCCTTGGAGGTGCAGCAGCAGTGGTTCCAGCGCTACAAGATCCGGCTCTGGTTCTACGAATCGCCCGTGTACAACCCCAACGGGCGACTCGTCCAAAGCCTCCCCAAGCTCGCCAACATCAGTGCGTCCTTGTACACGGTGTGGGCTGGATACCAAGACTACTTCTTCAGCCTGTACGACAAGAAACTCACGGTGGGGCAGACCTTGAAGATCGTGCCTGACGTGGTGAAGGCCATCGAGGAGCACATTGAGAAGATGCTGGCGGTGGTGGAGTACACTCCTCCGGGCTTCCCCTCAATGCTGATGCCCCCGGCAAAGGAGATCCTGATCCAGAACCAGCTTCCCCTGGGTTGCGTTCCCGCCATGCTCACCCTGTACGGCGGATCCAAGGCCAAGTACGACGAGTACGGATGTTTGAGCAGCCTCAACAAGATCTCCGAGGCTCACAACACGCTGCTGGGCCTGAAGGTGGAGGAGTTGCGCAAAAAGTACCCGGATGCCAAGCTCTACTACGGCGATGTGTATGCCGTGTACACCGACATCCTCAAGGAGCCCGCCAAATACAGTGAGTCCCGATGGATGCCTTCCGTCCAGTCGCCGTCAAATTGCAGACTAGCCCAGCCCCGCCCTTCCATATGGCGGCCATGTCTGTGGCTGCTGCAGAGGATGGATGGGGTGGGGAGTGTCTGCGCCAGGGAATGTGCAGTGTGCGTGTTGCGGTAGATGCGAGAGCGTTTTCGATGCAGGAATATGGCACGAGGGTTGAGAGAGTGCATCATTGTGGCGCTGATTGCCGGGTGATTGATGTGCAGATGTGACGGCTCCACTGAAGGCGTGCTGCGGAGTGGGAGGAGACTACAACTTCAACAAGGACGTGTGGTGCGGCCAGAGCGGAACGGTGGAGGGCAAGTTCGTGAACCTGACATCCACCTACTGCGCCGATCCCGTGTCCACCTTGAGCTGGGACGGCATCCACACCTCCAACACGGTGAACAAGGCCCTGGCCACGGCGTTCCTGACGGGCAAGCACATCTATCCCGAGGGCGGCTTGAAGTGCAACGCGGACTTCAAATTCTGGGAAGCCAGGACCTAAGAGGTCGGCGGGGCTCCGTCACAAGAAACGGAGCATCTCCGGAGAGCACGACGTCAAGCTTGGAGGAGAGACCGCCACACATAGCAGCATCATCAGCGGTTGCAGCTGGGACAATCTGGGCGAATCGCCCATCGAGAAATGCCAGTTGTGAGGGAGCAAGGGTGAGTGGAAGTGCGAGCTGCGAGTGCGTGAGGTGTAAAAACATAGACGTAAAACATGTAGGAGTGATAGGAGCGTTGTTGGTAATAACTGGGGCGCGGTGGAATTCCAACCAGCGAACAGAGAGGGGTGTGATGTAGCGGCGGAGACGAGAATGTCTCGAACCTATGCACTGTATTGGGCTGGACTGTTATTTGGAGTAAACTTGATTGATCTATGCACAAATTAGATTGCGCGTTTGTTGCATCGTGGAAGATGGGTGTGTGCGTGGCGAGTCTCACATGTTGTGCAGGGGAGACGAGAGTCGTGCACTAGTGTGGGTGGCATTGGGCACTGATTCTCGGTGGGTAGTGGGAACCCGGCACTGAGCAGCGTGGGCGTTCTCAAGGGTCGGGATGAGCGTGGGTCTGAAGGAGACTTGGTTCGAAAAGAGGAACATCGCCCCCCTAGGCTATTCCACGCCATTCTTTCATATGTTCGTTTGTTTGTTTGTTTGTGTCCAACGTTGTCAACCTTTGTTCTCAGGATTGGGCTCCAGCATCGTCGTCGCAGTGCCGACAGCGGTAACGGCCGGTACCTGGATGCCACACTCCGCACTTATTGCGCTGAGTAAGAATTACAAGAGGTATCAGGATGGATGCATCCTCCTGACTTCAATGTTGGTTTCGGTTTTTCGCGAGACTTGCCGAGGTTGTACTTCTGGCGGCATTAAGTAAAGAGGCGTTTAGAACTTAATCCCGGAAGTAGTTTGTAGCTTTGTTAGTAATTTCTATGGATTCAAGAATAAATACTAAATAAGCTAAAATCATATGGGCTTCTCCATTCCTGGCTCCTTTTGATAGTTTATCATTTTGAGCTTTACGGTTAGAGGATCCTCTGAATGCTGTCACTGATAGCTGATATGTTAACCAGTGTTTGATTCAATTTGACTTTGGCAGTGTATGTGTGATGCGTCTAGCATGATAGACAGTTTCATTGCTAATTGAATATTTTTGATTTTCAGAAGCTCCAGTTATTACCATAAAGTAGGAGTGCTTCTGTATGTCACCATTGCCAGATGGGATATCCAATCCATAGTAGGGTGTTTATCACGTTACATGAAAAATCCTCAAATGGCACATATGGTAGTTGTCAAGAACGTATTACGGCACTTAAAAGGATTCTTAGATTTTGGAATCTTTTATCCAACAAATGACAGAGGGATTACTCACCTATGTCGATGCAAACTGAGCAAGTGATACATACTCTAGCAAGTTGACTTGAAGAATTTTGTATAATCTGGGAATAGCTCCAATCGCATGATCCACTAAACTACAACCAATACTTGCGTTGTCCTCAATGGAAGCAGAGTATCAAGTTCTATCCGAAGCTGCTAGGAACATTACATACTTTTGTTGATTATTGTAAGAATTGCAACTACAAAGCCATGGGCTAACACCGCTCCTCTGTGACCACATCAGTAGCATAAAACTTATCCAAAAGCCAGTGATGCACAATCGCACAAAATATATTGATCTTCATCATCACTTTATTTGAGAAAAATCATCAAGTCAGCAATATAGAGGTTAGCTGTGTACCAACCTTGGAGCAACATGCGGAAATATTTACAATCCTTTGGGGCCTCAATGTTTTATTAAAAACCAAGAAGAAACTGGATTACGCAGGATACCCGTCTCATCACAAACAAAGACAGAGTATTGACAAACTAATATCCAACTCAGCCTCACAAATTGAGATAGCTTTAGAGAGGGTACATCACTACCATACAACCCAAACTCTTCACAAAATCATCTGCCTCCTATCTAGTTCTAAAACTTCTAAACACGCAACTCTTATAACCTTTAACATGTCGCTGACACTCTTGCCAACTTGAGCATATATCACAATTAAAACCCCTACGTATCGCGTAATATTTTTGAATCCTTCCTGCAGACTCATTACTCACCTCAAGAAACAAAGTTTTTCAAAACTGGGAGTTATCAAACCCTAGTGCATCGTCCTTCATCAACTCCTCTCCTGCCTCTTGAAGAATGTCATGTGCTGCTGCCCTAGACTCCTCATAGCTTCTTGCAAGGAAGAAAACTTAACAGCTACAAGAGCACAGTGCCAAACGCAACATTGCCAAGCATTTGAACTACAACAACAATCAACTACTATAACAATCGACAACTCAAAGAGAAAGATCTGAAGGTGAAAAATACAAACAACTAAGTTTAGAAAGACCTCATTATAACCTACTTAGAAATTAAGTATCAACCACATGAATTACATACCACAAATAGGTCTTCTACCACCAATTGCAGTCTCTCGAGGATATCCGCAGGAGGAACAGTAAATCGTAATATTATTAAAAGAGGATGTAAGAATTGAGAAAGGGTGTTGGTGAATTAATCTTGCACCTCCTCTTGACATCAACATGCCACGTCACCAATATCTGATAGTGCTAATCCTAGCTAGAAAGTAGCCCTACCTAAAAACATGTACTTATAGAATAAATACATATATCTTAACTTGCTAATACAAGTTGAGTTGAGCAACATGGTCACAGTCTTCAACAAATGCACAGGGCACTAAACTGTAGTAAGGTATTTATTGCAACATGTTCTTCGCACAAAATATAAGTGTTACAATTCTTGCAGAGCCTTTCACAAAGAGATTCAAATGCCATGCCTCCCAGTCTTGTAGTGAAAGAGCAAGTCGCTTCAATACTGTGGAAGACAATTCGCTTTGCCTCGCAAACAACACGGCCTCCAATGACATCAAAATTAGGTTCAGACTCAAAATTTGCTTTTTAGTTGGTATTGAGAAATTTGAACTTCACTGATAATAATAAATCATGAATGACATATACATTTTAATAGCAGGATTAGTTATTCTATACTTAATCTATATAATACTTGGTTTATAGTTTGGTTGTGCACACCAATCATTCATCAATATTAGAAATTACTTAGATATTGGATATATGATTTGAATATAGAGATATTTTTTTATTGCTAAGAGGTATTTTAGTTTGTAATTTATTTTAGATTTTTGGGTACTAAAGGAGTAAACCAAGTTTTTGGTTTAGTAACATAAATTATAGGTTTGTATGAAAAGTGCTTATAGAATGTCAAAATTTAAAGTGATTTAAAAATAAAAATTTTTGGCATAACCAAAAAAAATTTAATTATAAGGAGTACCAATGGAAGTAGTATTTTTATTAAAATTAGAATAAAAATAACTTTACAATTGTATATTAGATCATTTGAAATATGTATATCAACATACACTAGATTATGAATCATGTTGAGTAACAAAAAGCCAAATAACTTTTACAATTTTTGTAGCATCAAAATGACAAGAGTATAATCTTTCACTACAATAAATAGAAAATACTAAATTTTTATAAAAAAACTACATAAATTGAATTTAAAAAAATTGAAATATATATTTATATTTTTAAAAGCAAAAATTATCTTATTTTTTGAAAAAAAACATAAAATTATTCGTTTACAAGGCATGATGGTTGAATCATATACTAAAGAATAATTGTAATAACCTTGATTTACATATCCTACCAAGATATAAAGTGCCACAATATCTATACTATAAATTTCTAACAAAATTCTAGCTAAGTTTATGAGTTGATTTAGACATATTTTATTTAATGAATTATTATATAATAGTTAATTATTTAATTATTTTCTTTTACGTGCAAGCTCAATGCAGCAATTTTTGGTTTTTCTAGAACAACTTATTGTAGGTTAGGATGAAGTATTTAATTAAAAATTTATATAATACTTTATAAATATATCAGCATGTTCTTCTAGAAAATTTAGGAAAATCTTAAAAATTTTATTAATTTTGAATAGGATAGTATAATTTTATAATAAAACACTAAACATGAAAAGATACCTCTGATTTTTAATCTCTAATTTTAAATTATTAAAAAATTAATTTTAAAATTTTATGTTTCACAAAATAAATATTTAAAATTAGTCAACTTATTTAATGTAATAATAGTAATTTTTTTATAATTTTTAATTGCATTTTTTATTTAATACCTATGAAAGATTCAAGATTAGGATTGTATAATCTTCTATTGTTATTCAAAAATAAATATACTTATTTTATAAAATTAACAATATATTTTATAAAAAAATAATTATTAAAAATAAAATTTGATATTATATTTTAAATATTTATATCAAGTTTATAACATATATTATAAATAAATTATATTTTTTTAATATTAGATAGTATTATATAATTTAAAATTATTTATAATGTTTAAAAAAAATAATTATATGAATCTAAAATATATTATCTATAAGAAAATTTATTTTTTTAAAAATAAAAACATCTATATGAAAACCTTAGAATTTTTTTCTTATATATATATATATATATATATATATATATATGTATATATATATATGTGTATGTATGTGTGTGTATATATGTATGTATATTAAATTATATTTGTAGATTTATACATTAGAAAGAAAAACAATTTAGCAAGCTAAATAACTATTAGAAGATATTTTTACAAAAGAATAGAAATATTAATTATATATCAACTTTAATTACAATTATATTCTATGCATAAATTTATAAAGTTTCTAAATCCAATTTGTATCTCATTATCTTGTAACTAATTCTAAAAATCTTGATGTAAAATTTTAATAACCATTACATTAAAACACCAATATAAGAGGTTATTTTATTAATAAAACTTATTCAAAGCCTTTGCAAAAAATTATAAAAATATAATATAAGTAGTGATTATTCTAATTTTTGCTCCAAATAGAAGCTTCTTTGATTATATTTTCATCTATACTTTAATGAATAATCAGAGATTAAAATTAAATACATACAATTTTTTTTTGTGCAAATCACTATGGAAATAAAATATAATACTATTATAATAGGTTGATGCTTATTAGAAGCTAATCTTATGAATAATGTATTTGCTAATATTTGAATCTTAAAGGTATAATCTAATTTATACTAATTTATATTGTACTATTATATCAATTAATTGCATAATACATGTTCAGTAAATGATAAGAATGTAAGAGAATGAAAAACTTGAGATATCTTGATAGTTTTGGAATTAGAGACTATAAAACATGAAATAATAAGATTTAAACATTCTTCTAATAGTTTACTCAACCTTAATTAGAATTAAGCAAAAAAAATTATATTGAATTCAAATCATGTGCTTAAATTGTTTAAGTCATGTT